TTTATATTCATTCAGAAATCGATATCTTGCATCCCTAGTTGTGTTCTAGCTTATTTATTTCTAAACTCTCCTGGTAGCTGACGGGTTACAACCCTGAAGGAAATGGGGTAGAAAAATATTCGAAATACAATTCCACTCAACATTTAGAATTTTTATGCATTGTATAACATTTTCAAAGCAGAAAACAGAAAATATTAAGGAGCAATTGCAAAGTGGAAAATTAAAGTTTGTTATTTTCAAACTCCTTTGGCCATTTTTAATTGTGTAAACGACCCTTCAGCAGGTTTATGAGAGACTGTGGTACAATCAGCAATAATAAACATATATTTTCGGAGTTACTTTCAATTATTTCTAAAGAAAGAAACTAATTGGAATTCATTAATTGATGTTTTCACTGTGTTTCATTGATGAAATCCATGAAAATCCGTACTGTTAATTGTAAGAAGGTGAGGCCATCAACAAAAACAGAGAGAAAACACACATTACAGTAGTGTTCTTAATGGAAACGATGTTTACATCCTTACAGATCTTTTTCCCAGAAATGGGACATAGTTATGGAGTGAATTTTATTCCATTCTTGTTGCAAAAAACACATTTTGCAAAGATAAACTTGAGAAAAAAAAGTAATCCTGAAATAGAAAAAACTTTTGAATCAAAAAATGTTTTGAGAGAAACTGTGCTGTTTTCTCTTTTTCTTTCTAATTTTTTTCTCAGTTTTCTTATGTTATTTTTGCTAAACATATTTGCAGAGTATGCATCATTTCTTTTCTTTTTTTTTCAAATTTCTCTTTTCCAGATTGAGTTTTACGAATTGCATGCTTTTCAAAGTGCATTTTACCGATCAAATTTCTCTTCACTTCTGGAGGCGGGCTTTCCTTTGAAGCTAGGAGAGAAGATGCATTTCGATTAGTCTGCAATGGATGTTAGCAAAACCATTTTTATCGGCCAAGAGCTTGCATTTGTGTTGAGGATGAAGTGAAAAGAATGTGAAACGCAATTTGAAAAGAATGTAATTCATAGGACTCAAAAATAAAATCTGAGATAGCAGCAAAGCTTCTCTTTATTCCTTTTATTTAATCTTCTAATTCTGGAAATGCACTTTTTAACTTTCAATTTATAAAACATGTCCTTTGATAACGACAATAACAGACCAATTGATACTGCATAGATGAAAAAGAAAAAATATAAAATGAAAAAGTTGAAATATTATATACTTCTGAAATAAAATTATTTAGAAGTTACTCTCAAAAATGCATTTTGTTTAAACTTGTCAAATTTTGCTTTGAATAATGATGGAACAAAAATAACTCCATAGAACATCTTAATATTTGTACAGCCATCTCTGTAGATCACCTGCAATGCGCCCCCTTATTTAAAAACACGGGCGTACCATTTAGCAGGTCTTATTCAGAATATTTTAGGATTGTAAATGTTAAAAGTGAAAATCATCATGGTACAGCCGATGGATATCCTGGTATTATGCTGCTTTTATGCTGCCATGCGGCCAGTTCTCACACTGCCTCAAATAAAAGCTGTTTGGTTTGGCAAAGTAAGGATTATTACCTCAAGTTTGGCCGACAAAAGTCTGAAATGAAATATCTGCATGTTGTGAGGACATCCCTATGCCAGATCAGCTGCTATGTTTCCTTAATCGGGTGTCAACAATAAACTGGAAACAACTGAAGTTTGGCTTCAAATGGGAAATCTGCAATGCGTCAACCTGCAAGTGTGCTGAGCACATTGTTATATATTTATAGTTGATCTTTTTTGTGTTTTTTTTTCTTGTTTTTTTCCAACGCTCCATTATGACGGATCCTTTTTGCCCCGGCTCCATCCTCTGCGATTAGTCAGACTTTAGGAAGTAGTCTCTGTCGGGTTTTAGCTTGTTTTCCTCCAAACAGAAAGGTGTTTGAATAAAAAAAACGAAGATGAAAGAGAACATAATTCTTCCATGCCCTCTTTTTCTTTCCCTCACCCAGGTCTCACTCCTTATTTCCACACCCCCCCTTCTAATTTTCTTGCTCTTTTGCCTCCCTCTGCCCCACACTGCGCTCCTCACCCCCTTTTTCCCTCTCTTTTGCCTCTTATCTAGGCTAATGCAGCAGCAGCAGCCATGCTAATTTTAAACACCAAATCCTCAGCCAAAGCCCTTCGCAAGCCCCATTCTCTTTCTCCTTTCTCTTCACTCTTCATCTCAGCCTCGGCTAAAGTGCTGTCTTTGAGAACGATGTTAAAGTGAAAAAGGGATTGACTTAAGTTGTGCAAAAGGTGATGCCAGGTGAAAATAAGGAGGGGAAATAAATGACTATTTGTTAGTAAATAGGAAAAGTAAAGCATATTTATTCCATGATCTTCTAGTTTGCTGCCACCTTCTGTCAATCATTTTAGGAAATGTGTCAGAACGTAAAACTTGATCTATATTCGCCACACTGAACAAGGAACGAGGTTTGCGCGTGGCAAAAGTGACACGATCATGCCATCCCCGCCCCCGAGCTTGGAAGCTTGGAGAGCGCACGCAGCCTCAACGCGAGGTCGTGCATCTTAAAATTTTTGTAGAGCCGAGCATACACTATACGACATTTTCAGTCCCCGTCCACACGAAGTCAAAACGAACACGAAACGCTAATATTTTCCAGAACGTTTGTCGTAAAGACGGAGACGTAAAATAAATGTGATCGACCACACGAATGCATGAAAACGCTGCAAAATGTATGCCAGGCCTGTAAGTGGCGCTGTGGTGCCAAAGCAAAAATAGGCGAAAACAGGCAACGAAATGTTGGGCATGCGCACTAATATTTATACATGGTTGCCCTGTGGGTCCATTTTCGTGGTTCATTCAAATTCAGGTGCTGAACTATGTCGTCGATATTGCTCTGTTCTTCCTGGAGATATTCCAGAAGAAGAAGATTCTGTTGTAAGCCCGACAGCAGGGTGAGTAGCATGAGCAGCAACCATTCAACACAGCACGGCGCCATTGTTGTTGTGATACTGTGTCGCGCATGCGTGTTTAGAGCCGACGCTATGACGCATGCGTGTAAGAAAAAAAATGCGGTCAGACCTTAAAAATGGAAACGCGAAAACGGCATTTCAAAATCTTCCCACTCTGAAGGCTTAATAAAAAAAAGATCGTTTACAGACTTCTGAAACGCCGGCTTCGTATGGATGAGAGGCTGGTTTGGTGAAAAATTTGTGAATTTAGCCCAGGGTTTGACTTCGTGTGGACGGGGCCTCAATTGGTGCATTCAGCTACAGCTCAAACTGTACGGTGAAGCGGCAGGGGTTAAAAGTTCACAGCTCAAGATGTTTGTTCTTACACTTTATAACCCAACGCTCTGATGCGATCAAATTGGTCACACTGTATGTTCAAAAAACACACCTCGGACTCACCGACGAGAGACGGCACTGGTCGGACGCATCAATCTAGAAGAAGAAGAAAAAGAACTCCCATGTTTGCACATGCAAAAGCGCGAGTTTCTGGTAAATTGGCTCCTAAACACAAACACCTCAAGAAGGCCGACTAAATTTCAAACATTTTTGATTTTCTCCCAACCTTACAAGTTCTGATCGTGAGGTGATGGTGAGAGGCTTATCAAAACCTTGTTACACCCTGTATACTACAGGATGCAGGACGCAGATGAGGCTGAATCCATGAGGCCTGATCCAAAAAATTATCGCTCGATTGGAGAATCAGGCTGGGAAGAACTTAACTTGCTTAACTTGAGCTGCATGCAGCAGCCTCATTCCAACTGGGAGGTTATAAAGGTATCCTCCAAAAACAACTTTTCCTCTACTGCCATCAAATGGTGCAGAAGGTTCCAGTGGGACAGTGTGGTTTAATGCAATGTTGTTACTAGTTATTCAGTGACTGAGAACGGCATACAGGGAGGAGTTTATTGGACAGGCTTCTGGTACAAACAAGGATTTTAGTTTCTATTTCCATCACATACAACATAAAGTCTGAAAGAGCTATCCATAGTATAAAATCCCTACAGCATTTATATAGTGAAAAAACTTTTTTTATATATGTTATTTAACAACCAAAAAGGTCTGTATGGGCGTCTCTCTGTCCGCAGCAGCTAAACCTACTGTTTTATCCCATCGCATATTCCTGTGCAGCTGCCATAAATACATGTACTATTCTTCAATAAACGTAAATCTTAATTAAACAATACTGCGCTCTACCATTTTGGAGGTGCTATTTCTTCTCCTCTTTCTTTCTCCATTTCTGCTTGTTATGTTGATCACTACCCTTCTGTGCTTTTTGTGAGCACTGCAACTACATGCAAAAATCCAAATCTAGATAAGTAATTTTTTCTTAAAATAAGTGCATTTGTTCTTGGATTGAGGAGGTAAAGGAGACATTTTGCCAATGGAACAAGACAATTTAGACTTAAATTTAGAAAACACAATTTCATTGTCTTATTTCAAGTGCATATTATCTAAATATCTTATTTTAAGAGTAAAATTGCTCATTCCGTTGGCAAACCATCTCATTTACCTGCTCAAATTAAGGGTAAATACACTTAATTTAAGATGTTTTTAATCATTTTAAGACATGTTTTACTAATTTTTAGATCGTTTTTGCATTGTAACATGTACAGCCCTTCTATGGGCTCACTCACAGTGCGCACAGGCTGGTGCTACAATCCAACATGCAAGTATATCTTAGAAGACATAGAAGTGGGCATAAGCAACATGAAATTTGAGAAAAGCTTTTTTCTTTTTTCACTCAATGTGACCTAAACAACTAAAAAAGTTACACCCAATAAAGCAAAAGTAATAGCTGTCCTATACTGCAGTCGGCATCGGCTAGTTGTTAAGGGAAGCTATCAAACACCACAAAACGACACTGAAGGAGCTATGTAAAACAGATGCTAGTTGGGATCTATATCTAAAGAAAGTTTTGCTACTAGAGAACAGTTTATCGTTTCAATGTAAACATACTGCAAGTCATGGCGGTTAAAGCTTCATAGACAGATGTTACTGAGGTTTTTGTCCACATAGAAAGATTAATGAATTATTTTTGGACCATCTGTGATTCATTGATATTAATGCTTCAGAGGGTTTTGTCATAAAAGTTTATACCTGTCATATTGGGACTGACAGATACTCACCTTTGCAGATGAGACCTTCCTTGGTGATGGCCTGCTTGCATATGTCACAACTTTTCGCCTTCTTAAACGGCTTCAGCTTGAAGGTGTGTGTGTGGACCCCCTCCAGCTCGTCAGGCTGCAGTGAAACACAAAATATATATATAAGATATCTAAGATTTCAATAAAACAAAAAATATATATATATCAGTAATTGTAAGCATAGTTCATTGGGATTGATGGTCTTTGATTGTGCTGGATTCCAGTGAATCAGAAGACTTCTTTCCTAAATATACTGTTTGATCATCCCAAACAGGGATCCTATACTTTATACAATCAGTTTGGTAAAATAGAAAAGAAAAATGTTATGAGGAAATTTTGGATTGCAGAAAAATTGTGAAAAGTGTATTCATAGCAAAAACACTTTCTGAGCAAGAAACTTCAACTTTAAGATCTTTAAAACACACATTGAGTGGTTTAGAAACTGCAAATAATTCTTGATCAGATCAAAAACCTGAGAAACCGGTAAGATTGTGGTAAAAAGTTACTGAGCTTGTTTGGAACAGCAATTGGGAGGAAGGATCTGTGAAAGCACTTCTTTGTGCATCTATGATGCTACAATCCCTTAATGAGATCTCCGACTCTGCAACAGTTCTATGCATTACGAGTCCAAAGATGCTGTTATTTCTCTTCTAGTCAACCGGCCTGTTTCTGACAGAGATGGCCTTTCTTTTAAGCTAATCCAACTGCTATTTCTCACTTGCAGATAAGCATTTTACACCACAAAAGATGGCTGATGTCACCACATAGTCAAAGACAGATATTGACCCTATCTGTAAAGAGCTTAGATGTTTCTATAGAGAAGAACACAGCAGCTAAAGAATTTGATAGGAGTGTTTAAAAAGTCTAAAAAGTATTTGAAATACTTAGGAAGTGAAGTACAAACAAAGCAATTGCCAGTCTGGTCATGTCTGAAAGAAGACTGCAAGATGTGAAAATACGACAACAAACCGCAAAGTCCCATCACAGATCCCACTGCGGACTGAACTTACTGTACAAATCTGAAAAGGGCTGCAAGTGTGTAACTTTGACGGAACATATGAAAGACCAGCATGGAAATTTAGTTCTAATGACTAACAAGTGGGAATTACTCATTTGACGTAAATAAAAACGCACACACACACACATCATTAAAAGGTATAGTGGAGGATGTTCTTTTTCCGGGTGGATTATGAAAATTAGTGGTCCTTCTAATTGTCAATCAATTTGGTGATACTGTATGTGTACCATCCTACATCCTCGTCTCCATTTGTGCAAATTGTTTGCAAAAATTGCAAATCTTCTTTTGGAAAAGTAAGCTTGTAAGAATATTGCAGACAGCAACATTTTAAAAAAAGTGTGAAAGAGTAGAAATGGGCTCATACATTCCCTTGCACATATTTAATAGGCGTTCCATCTGGGGAGAGGGTACAGGGTTGTGCATGTGCTTTTTTTTTTTAAAGTGCAGAGGGTGGGTCTTTTCAAGAATTCGTGAGAATCCTCCACTATAACTCTAACAAAAAGAACCTCATGGAGGAGCTGTGAGGCTGAGTAACTGGCTAGCTCACTATCATCAAGTCCCCCATCATTCTATAATTTATCAAAGGTCATTAAGGAAAATGTGAGACTATATGGTGAAAGATAAGTGCCAGAAAGGACATACGTTTAGGTGTCTCACTGCAAAAACAATCTAGATATAAGTCAAGATTACTTAAATTAAGTGAATTTACCCTTAATTTCAGTAGGTAAGTAAGAGGATTTGCCAATGAAATAAGTATTTTTACTCTTAAAATAAGATAATTAGATAAAATGCACTTGAAATAAGACATTGCAATTGTTTTTCTTAATTTAAATCAAAATTGCCTTGTTCCATTGGCAAAGTGTCACACTTACCTCCTCAATCCAAGAAAAAATGCACTTATTTTAGGAAAAATTACTTATTAAGATTTACATTTTTTGCAGTGCTGGATTTCTTAATGTAACTCAATAACTCAAATAAAGTTTAGAATTATCTTTGCTTCTTGATACGTTTGACATCACTTCATCCATGAGAGTACAAATCTAAGTTACAAATTCAAAACAAAACATTAATCAATTAAAAATGTATGAATAAGAGTCACATATTTACAAGAATAACTCACAAAAGTGCATTTACAAATCACAAATTTACATGTAAAAAAGGAAATAAATGCCACTAACAATTACAAATATACGAATTTGTATAGCAAATGTACAATTACAAACTGACAACCCCTGATGTAGCCGTTACACTGGAAAAACAATCTAGAAATAATTTAATATTTCTCAAATTAAGTGCATTTACCTTTAATTTGAGCAGGTAAATTAGATGATTTGCCAATGGAATGAGTATTTTTACTCTTAAAATGAGATATCTAGATAAAATGCACTTTAAATAAGACAATGCAATTGTGTTTTCTTATTTTAAGTGTGAATTGTCTTGTTCTATTGGAAAAATGTCTCTTTTACCTCTTCAATTCAAGAACAAATGCATCTATTTCAAGAAAAAATGAATTATCTAGATTTAGATTTTTTTCCAGTGTAGACTCCTTACCAGGTCGTTTAGAAATCTCTGTCCTAAATTTGTAAAATTCTTCTCCTAAATTTGTGATTTGTAAATGGGAGATTTGTTCTTGCATATCTGTGATTCCTACTGGCAGCTTTTTGATTCATCAAGTGGGAATGCTTATGCATTCCCACTTATTGTT